AGTCCAGGTTTCTTTTTTTTTTTTTTTAAATTATGGCTAACTCTTTGAATTCAGGTTCCTAATTTTTTCAGGCACTACAACAAAAGAATGGGGTTGATGCTTGTGGTTACATTTCCAAAGAACACAAGTTTTGCTTATTACTGATGAAAGTAGTAAATTTAACCTTTGGAGAAAACACTTTTGTTTTTTTTCCTAAATGTGGCAACTATATGCAACAAAAATTGGTTTTAACTTCTAAATTATTAGCTGTCATTGCAATTGCAAATAGAAAGAAAGTTATACAGGAAGAATTTACTACTTTAAATTGTATGTCTGTGCTTGAAAACGTACAATTGTCAACTTCCCTTCACAGTTAAATCTTTTATGCATATGTTTACTAATACATGTTGCAGAATTAGATAAGTTAATGAAAATAAACTTCTTTATAATATTGAATCAATTTTTTAAAAATGAAATGCTAAGAACAGTGTGTCTTTGGTATAGAAGTTACGTAGGGAAAATGATAAAATTCTGGCTTGTTGAAATAGCTTCAATTATTTGAAATATCTAACTTTGAAACCATTTAGTTTTAAGCTTCCAACTGTTTAATTGTGCATTTTCTGCTATGGAAATAATAGGATAATTTTGACAATACTAATTCATAATCATGAAAAATTTTATTTGCTTTTAAAATTCAAAAGTTGTAGCAACTCATTAATAAACTATTAAACTGAGGAAACTCCAAAATCATAATTTTGCTTCTTAAAAAAAATTAAGAAAATTCAAAATGAATTAAGGAGCTTTAACTCCTCCCATTCATTCTAAGGTTTTGTCTACATGGGGACACTCAGGAAAATTAATCCAGATTAACTAAAGGTGTGAATTTAAAGTGGATTAGTTACACACAGGTGTTTAATGTGGTTTATGCACTTATTCAGAATTGCAGAGGCCTTAATTGACTTCGTTTATTTCATTTTGGAAATGAATTAAGGCTAATTTAATTCTGAATAAGAATGTCCACGCGGGGGGTTAGTGCGATTTAACTAATCCACTTTTAATTCACACTTTTGGTTAATTTGGATTAATTTTCTAGAGTGTGTCAGTGTAGACAGGCCCTAACAAACTTCTTTGTAATATTTGTTCTTCTAATCTGTCTTGAGGGACAAGCAATTTACACATGGTTTGCTGCTTGTAGAATTGTTTGTCATGCCACATCAGAGGCTGAAAAAGTTTCAAGGTCTGTGAATAAACATTAATAGCATAATATTTTCCTTTTATAATTGTGTTTATATATACAAATAAAAATGTAATTTGACTCAAATACAAACACCATAAAATCCAGTTAAAGTTTTAGAATTCTATTTTTTTTTTTTTTATCAGCTCATAGGCTACAGTGAGAAGCCAGTAAACCTACAGATGTTCATTGGAACAGCAGATGATCGCTACTTACGACCTCATGCTTTCTACCAGGTGCACCGAATCACTGGGAAAACAGTTGCTACTGCTAGCCAAGAGATAATAATTGCCAGCACAAAAGTACTGGAAATTCCACTTCTTCCCGAAAATAATATGTCTGCCAGGTGTGTAGCAGCATTTCTCCCAAACTAGCAAGTTAATCATTTTGTGTATTCCTTTCAAAACAATACAAGGTTGAAAATGGTGTATTTAATTTTTAAGGTAACTTGACATAGCCTTAATTGCTTTGATTTTTAATTGTGTACTATATGTAGTGTCTGGGGTTTTTTTCTGCCAACAAGCTTTTTAAAAAAAATGCTTTTTGCTACCTGTAGTTGGATTATTATCCTAACTTCAGACCTCTGTGCAAAATCTGAAATGGAATGATTATGTATTATTTTAATGAACAAAGGGGGAACCTGTCATCCCATCTAAAATGCTACACCATACTACTTAGAAGCCAAGTGAGCACCATAAATTGTTATTTCTTACATGAATCAAGTTCAGCATATATGCTGATTTGGCTAAACGTGTATAATTTCTCAGTATGAGTAAGAATACTTTTTTTTTTTTAATGTGGGGTTTTTAGAAGAAAAATGTGGACTACCATATAATGCAGCCACAGAGTTTGCTTAGTTATGGTTTTAATGTGTATAACTTTATTTGAAAATTTCCATAAAATGCCTTCTCTAGTCTTCCGTAGTTGTTGTCCCATAACAGTGCTATGCAGTCTCTGTCGCCCTATTATTTAGTTGACTACATAACCGTTGTCCCAAATAAACAATAATTGCTATTTTGGAATTTCAGAAAGAGTTTTGTTAGGCCAGTTGGTTGCAGGTTTGGCCATTTTATGACACTGTTTCCCATGCAGAATTGTACATGGTTACACTTCTGAGTGACATGTTTCAAAACTGTCATCAGGAGGGCACTAATGTAATACAAATAATTGATCTTTTACTTTTAAAAAGCCAAAATGACAGGGGATATAAGTTCCCAAAATATAACTTTACAGCTGAAATCCATAGTTTCCTTTTTTGCCCTAATTTAAAGCATCTTAGTAGCATCTATCCAAGTTAGTAGCACTGAGCAAAATTAAGAGTTATTTTTAGTTCTAGTTTAACCAAGACGGTTAAACTGAGACCTTTAGGATAAGTTTTTGATCCATTAGTAATACTTGACTTCTTTTCCTCCATTTGTCTTCTAACCCTTCTCCTCCCTTTATCCTTCAGTATTGATTGTGCAGGTATTTTGAAACTCCGCAATTCAGATATAGAGCTCCGTAAAGGAGAGACAGATATTGGAAGAAAGAATACCAGAGTGCGACTTGTGTTCCGTGTTCATATCCCACAGCCTAGTGGAAAAGTGTTGTCTCTACAGATCGCTTCCATACCTGTTGAATGCTGTAAGTTTTGTAACAATTAGTCTCTTACACACATTTAAAATCTCTTAATTACAGTTGCAATAGCTTTCTTTTCCATGTGTCAATAGAATTTTAGGCAGAAGAATCCACTGGAATATTATGGCTCTGAAATTATTTTTGAAACTGTGTGCATTTACTGTAAAACCTATCTATTACTAACTGAAGATACTTAGAGTAGTTGGAACATTGTAGATTTAAATGTAAAATTAAAGTATTAAAAATTTCTTAAAAGCTTTTCAGTATGCTAAATTGTGTGGTTAAAGAGATTAACGTAAAATAAGGGTAAATTTGGGAAGAGCAAAATTTGTACTTAATGGCCTTTTTCATGTAAAAAGTAATAAACAATCATCTTTCTACATAAGAGCATCAGTATTCATTTTGGGTTTTATGTAACATAATACTTTATAATTTATATATTTAAAAGTCAAAGCATTTATTTTTGGAAAAAAGCTAATTAATGGTTTCAGTTGGCAGATTCTACATGCTTACTAGAGACTAACCTCTGGTCTACACTGGGGGGTGGGGAGGGTTCGATCTAAGTTACGCAACTTCGTCTACGTTAATAACGTAGCTGAAGTCAACGTACTTAGATCTACTTACCACAGTGAAGACACTGTGGTAAGTCGACTGCTGATGCTCCCCCATCGACTCCACCTGCGCCTCTCACGCCAGTGGACTCCGCCTGGCCTCTCTTGCTCCAGTCGACGAGAGAGCGCTTGGCGGTCGATTTCTCGCGTCTTCACTAGACGAGATAAATCGACGCCCTGCTGGATCAATTGCTCGGTAGGTAAGTGTAGACATGCTCTAAGTAGAAGTGTTTCTAATTCAACAGTTCAAGTTCTTTGTGGTATTCATTTGTAAACTACAGGTGTGGGAATACCAAAATGGGTCATATAAAGAATCTTAAGTAGCTTTTGGTAATAATTATTTTGACCTTAAAATAATTCAGAAATACTTTAAACAGATTTCACTAAACTGAAAAGTTAATCCAATGTATGCGGTTAACCTGTTGTGACGTTTCGTGATTGCTTACTATATCAGCCTTCATTTAGTAATTTCAGTTTCACTCAATATATGAAAGTAGTTAAACATTTTTTCCTTTTTCAACCCTTTTTAAAAAATAGCTCAGCGATCTGCTCAAGAACTTCCTCAGATAGAAAAATACAGCATCAACAGTTGTTCCGTAAATGGAGGCCATGAAATGGTTATGACTGGATCTAATTTTCTTCCAGAATCAAAAATTATATTTCTTGAAAAAGGACAAGGTAAGTTACCTTTTTTAGTTTTGAAAAGAACTGCTGGAATTATGAATGTTTCAGTGGTAAATGCATTAAAACCTTTGCAAGTTGTAATCTCAAACTTCAATTTGATCAATGATCTGTGTTCTGTGGGTTAGCTGCTATAAATGAAAATAGTACAGTTGCTGCCACAGGAAGATGATTACATACCAACTGGTTCCTCACTGAAAACTTGGAACTGCTTATACATTGCATATATTATGCATTCCCCTTCTCTTGTGTTTTACTAGAAAAAAATTGCATGAAATATAACAGGGAACTAATTGACGTCTGTTCCAATTATTTGCTCACCATTTGAGTCATGTGTTGCCTGTGACTTAATTGCTGCTTAGGAATTAGCTGTGTTATCATGCTTTCAGGTGAGGCATTGTTGGGATTGCTTCAGAGACCTTTTCCATGCGACTTATCCAGAACACCTTGTCCAGTTCTGGGAGAATAATTCATCCATTTTTTGGGGATCCAAAAAACTCAGTTTAACACCAGATTTTGTCACTCAGATTCCTTGATTTGGCATACAGCAAGCTACGCTGAGTTGATCAGACTTAAATGTAGCGGGTGGGTACAGGGCTTTCCATACATCCAAGTTATACAGAAGACTTCTTGCTTTATATATGTTTACACATTACATTGCATTTACTGTGCATTGCATCAAACATTTTACGTTGCAGGAACCATTCCTTGTGTAGCATGCTCTGTCCATGCATAGTCCACGCTCACCCTATTCTTTACCTCATCTCTACATTCCTAACTTTCTTGTCCTTTGTTAGTAAATGGGTCCTTGGGGGTTCTCCCTCTTATCTTAGCTGGCTCAGACATTCTATCTTTTTAACCTCCTGACCTGTTTACTTATCTTATTTAGTAGAAATGTTCTGTTTTCAGCCTAAAGATCTGTTTACTACCCTAATTTTGTCCGAGAAATGAGGCCTCCCTCCATGTGTTAATTGCTCATGTCAGGCGAGACATGGAATAAACATCATGAACAAATTGGTAAATAGAGAATTTTGTGTTCATACAAGTTTGACAAACAATTAAGAGGCAGAAGATAAAAAAATAAAAATTTTGGTAACCAAGAATGGTGTCTACATAAAATATTTTTTCCCCAAAGAGTACTTAAGGCATCAATAGATCTTCAAAAATCTGGTTCATATGGCTTATCTGTTTAAAGTTAAGCATGTGCATTTATTTGTTTGTGCATAAGTTGCATAGGTAAATACAATGCCAGATGTGTGTACAAATCAGATATTTGCAATATGTAAAGAGCTAGATTCTGAAGTGGCCATATTGTGCATGTATATTGGATGCATAAGGAGTGAAGCAAATGTGTGAGTGCCTAAAAATCTGGTCTTGTATTTATCGTACATGTACACAACCTATTTATTCTCTTTCTCAAGATTTCAGCTGGTGTACAGAATAATAAAGATGGTACTCCTGGGGGAATTCTGTGCCACTGCACAGAATTCATGTCCCCTGCAGATTTTTTCTCCACAAAAAATACATTCTGCTGGAGATGCACAGCAGTTACACGTTTTGCCCACCAGGGGCTGCTGTAGTACCAGAAGAGCAGGCAGTTGGCTCAGTAGAGAGGAGAGTGCCGTGACCATGGGGCCAGGTGAAGAGACATGGGATATGGGGGGATGGAAAAAGTAGGGCACATGGGGCTGCTAGGGGATTACATAGACTGGAGTTCAGAAGGGCTAGTGGTTGTGGGGGGGACAGACTGGGGCAGGAGCACAGAAGCTAGTGGGTTGACAGCATTGAGCTAGGAGCTGAGTGGGATTGGAAGTGCAGGGACACATGGGGATGGGGTGTCTGAATGGGGGGGTGCAGGAATGGGGGAGGGGAATTCAGGGATGGATGTGGCTGAATGGGGATGCAAGGACACATGGGGCGGGGCAGATGTGCTTGACTGAATGAGGGAGGCTAAGGGATCAGCCAGGAGCTGCATGGGGGAGGCTCCCTAACAGTCCCACCCCAATCACCCCCAAAAAACCTGTTCCATACTTCTCCCACCCATGTCCAACAACCTTCCAGGTTCACAGCCAGGCTCCTTCCCACCAATTACTTCCCTTTTCCTCAGCTCCTCCATTACACCAACTCACCCAAGCCTTTACACTGCTTCTGAGGGGTGCAGGAAATATGTTTCTGTCTTGTAGTTTAAAATGAATTACTCAGAGTTCTGTATTAATATGCTAGTAAGGAATCTATTTGTCAAAAACATTCAGGGAATCTTTTTAGTTGTCTGTATTGTTACAGACCTACTTGCTGACAGGTATTTTGAAATAAATTACCAAAATAATTGAAACAGGTGTGATTATATTTTGTTTTGACAAAAAATATGCAGAATTTTAAAATATTTTGTGTAAAACTTTAATTTTTTGGCACAGAATTCCCCCAGAAGTAAGTTGAGAACTGAAGGGCCAAAACTTTTGCCTTATCTTGTTAGTAAAGTCCATTCAAAGTGCTTATGTTGCAAATATTCATTAGTTTAATATACTTTTTATTAAAGCTATTTACTATTTTTCTTCACAAAACTCTAGTGCATCCATGTATTTTAGAAAAACTAAACTTCAAATTGCTCTCATACAATATATAATACAGTAGTAACAAATTAACCTACAGTAGCTAGCAGATTCTTTAAGTTTGATAGTGGGGAAATTTTGGAGACCCTACTTCCTATAGGGTTGGGTAAGAAGATTTGACCTAATAGTATATTCAGCTGTATATTGTTGAAGTAACTACCTGAAATGAAAGCTGCAGTTTAAAACTTATCTAAAGAAAATAAGTTTCTGTTCTTGTTCTTGTTTTAATCCTGAAGCAGTTGTGTGTTAGGCATAATTGTAGCAGCTTTTTAGGAGGCTTATTTAGTTTTGCTAAACTTTTTTGATCTTCTTTGGTTTGAGCTTTATCCTGGACCCTTTAATTCAAGGGAGGTTCAAGAGTTCTGGATAACTTGTCTTTATATTAGGGAGCAATCTTGCTGTACCTTCCCCGCTACTTCTCCTCCTGTCTCCCCTTCTACCTCTTCTCTTCCCCCTCCCCCTCCCCCCCAAAAATAGGTAGCTTAAAACACTCATGTGCTCCGACATAGAAAAGGAACACTTTTTTTTTGTTTGTTTGACTGATCTGAAGAAAAAATACACAACTTACACCATGAATACAGTATATTTTTACATTTTTACAGGGACCCTAACAACTTGAAATATCATCAACTAAATATCATCTGTTCCTGAGTTCCAGTACTGTTTGTGGTTTTACAAATTCGTTTTCTTATTTTAAAAATATTTCATTCCACTCTTGCTGTGTTTGATACCCACACAAACATTCAGAATGACTGGCTGAATAGACACTGGGCCACGGAAAAAGAATGAGAATTCTTTGTGCTTAGGGCACTCACCAGGATGTGGGAGACCAGAGTTCAAGTCCCTGCTCCAATGACTACTCAATTACTTATACACAGTGAAACAGCTACAACAGGAGAGATTGAAAGACCCACACCAGAATATCTCATAGCCCACCAGCTAAGGTTCTCTTCAGAGTGGTCTGGGAGACCCAAGTTAAAATCCTTGTTCCTCATCAGGCAGTGGGGGATTTGAACCCAGGCCTTCCATATTCCTGGGTAAGTGGATTTAAAAGTAATGAGGGGGGCACCACCATCATGGGCATTCTGGACTGCTCCTTTAGCTGATAGCTCCTCATTCTTCAGTTAATATGCAACTAGAATCAGATGTTTCTTGGCAGCTCAGCAAACTGTGAATTTTGCAACCAGTCAGGGCATAAGAACATAAACTAAATTCTGTCTTTCCGCCAACATGGATTTTGTGCCTTGTCTTCAATAGGCTGTCTGGGGAAAGATAAAAATCTAGCTGTTGTACTGGGCTTAAATTTTCTCTAAATGAGAAATTTATGTAATTTTACATTATTTATGTAAAATAAAGTACATGACTCAAATCTGTGGTATCGTACACAAAACCAAACTCATGACTCAAAAAGTATTTTAATATCAACAGACTTGTAAGGTACTTCTTGACAAATCACCATTTAAGTTTCAATGGCCTTGGGTAGTCAACTTCACCCTGCATGTCATTCATTTCCAGTAAACATCCAACTTTGCTGTTGCTTAAATAGTAAAGACCAGGCAGGCACTTCATTAACTCACATGCCCTTCTTTTTCTTGTGCAGCAGTTCCATATCTATAATATATAGATCACATTTTACCAATTTTAATTTAAAAATACAAAATTAACTAATTTGGGGAACAATGAAATGACAGTATAGTGCTAATATATTAAACCTTTTATGTTAAAAATTATATATCTGATGGTATAATTTCTAGAATAATAAAATAATTTCCCCCACCATTAGTGTGAAACTTTGTTTAGTTGGACAGACTTTCATTATTTATCTGAAACTTGCAATGAGTCTGATATAGGTCTAACTAAAAGATAAATCTGAACATCTCAGTCATAATCTTGTATTTTGCAAGATAATACCATTGAAATAAAGCTGTCGCTAGTTATTGGTAATTTCTCTTCAAAAGCTGATGTCTAAATACACTTTTATAATTACAATCCTAACAAAGAAGGTGGTATCAGTGGTTGATCACATTAGTTAATTTTGACCTCAGCTATATATTAACAAATCTTTGTTACAGACAAAGCTGCTAAACACATATTATACCTGACATAGGACCACAAAAGCAAGGTAACATAATGCTAAAATATACCCTCTACTAATCCACACACAACACTTCACTACTACAACTAGCTTTACCACAATCTTAATTCTGCTCCAGAGGGATGCCATCTTTCTGTCACCATCATCACCACAAAACCCCTTCCCAGCACCAAATTACTAAATCAGACATCCACAACTAATAGTGTTTTGAGGGCAGACATCTGTACGGGTGCAAAGTTAAGGTTGTGGTTCATAGATAAGGACAGATGGGACCACTGTGATCATCTAGTCTT